GCTGAGGGCCATGGCACCAGGTTGCCGCGAGTTTGGGGTTTAGGTGTAGTCCTTAGAGGTGGTTTTTTTTTTTCTTACCTTTTTTCTTCTTTCTCTCGTTTTCTTTACTGTTTTAGTGTTTTGTTTCCCCACCGTCCCTTTTTCTTTTTTCTGTGGAGGAAAATACTGTTTATTAAGGATCACGTTCCCCCGTTAGCTGCTGGGTGGACGTGGAAACAGAGTTCCTTGTCTGCAGCAATTACTACTCTAGGTTTATGTCAAAGTAGCTTGCAGCAGTATTTGGCTTATAAAAGTTAATATGAGAGGTTGCATAAATAATAATTTCTAAATAGCTCTCTGTATGTGCATGTGTGGAAAAGCTAGGGCTGAGTGCAAACAAAGTCGGTGCCTGTTCTGAAGGTGGTCTGTCCTGCCCGAGGTGAATTAGAGCATATAGGGTTGGAGTCCACCCTTGCAGATGACAGCCGCATTGGGGTCAGGATTGGATTCGCCAGTCATTTAGTAGGTGTTGGTTTTTTCTGTTGTGGAAAGTAGTGATCTTTTTTTTTGGTCTGTGTAGAGTAGTCCAGGAGCTCAAAGTATGAGGAGATCTGCTGCCAACAGTTCTGCCTGAGAAACAGAACAAGGCACTGCTGGGTCCCATCTGTAGGCAGAGACGTGCCGTCAGAGTTTGCACTGATCACTATCTACAGTACCTTAAATACTAATGGAAATGACTATGAATCTTGTTTTCCTTCGCTGTTAATTTTTCTTCCAAATATGCTGTGAGGTTGTTGTGGAGAGGTTTCTTTTGTCAATTTGTTTCTGCTTTTCTGTGTTAGATAGATTAATACGTGATTGCAGCTCCATCCCACATGCTCTGCTGACATTTATTATCTTGATGTTACTGGTGTTCGCTTGCTTGGAATGGTGATCCTATTCAATTAGTGCCGCCTGCTTTTTGTATTCTTGTAATTCCAAGAAACTACTTGCTGATGATGCCTCAGTGACTGGCCTGTCAGTAAAAATACAATTCTCAAGGGGAAAAAAATAGGATTTGCAAAATAGTTGCTACACTGGTTTCTTCTCATGTCATTATTGTTATGGGGAAGAAGTGAGGGGAAGTCCCTAGTATAGAATCTAGTGGAAATTGATCTCTGAGATTTTTATTGACAAGATGAGTTCATAAAGCAGCTAGTTTGACAGTGTTGACCTATGTATTTTCATACCTATTTAGTTTAGTTTTTTCATTGAAAAGAAATTAAAACTCTGCATTTAGAAACCCTTGCATTTCAAAACTAACCAGCAAAAGCTAGCAGATTAAGGTGAAATAAAACATGGATTAAATTTAATTTTGCTTCTAGTTTACCCATTCTAGCACTACATGATGGTCCACAGAAAAGAGCTTTGCTATAATGTGCTTTCTTGGTAGGAGCTTTGTAAATGTTCTGCTCGTGAATCAGGGAGTTTAAACCTAACAGATAGCAATTGCATATTTTTATTGCTAAGCTACAAACAGGAGTACAACTTGAAAGTTTGAGACGGAACAGATAGCATGGAGAATGCCTTTCTTCCTAAGCAGAAGTGCAAAGCAGCACCAAACTTCTTCTGCACTTACGTGGAGCTGGTCCTAACAGCTTTAAAGTACCTTCCATGGAGGTTGGTACAGTAAGGGACTCTTCAGGCCAAGGTTTCTTAGCGAAGAAGCAGTGGCTGAATTGTCCTGTTTGTTAAAACAGCTGTCTCACTTTACCTTTCGTTTATTGAGCGTTTGGATGAACTAGGCAGTGCTGGCCAAATATGGAATCATAGAATTGTTTAAGTTGGAAAAGATTCATAATATCATTAAATCCAACTGCTAAGCCAGTACCATTATGTTCACCACTGAACCGTGTCTTTAAATGTCACATCTAAACACCTTTTAAATACCTCTAGGGATGGTAGTTCAGAGCTGGCCTCTTCCAGTGCTTAACAGTCCTTTCTGTGAAGAAATTTTTTGCTATCCAATCTATACCTTTCCTGGAGCAACTTGAGACCATTACCTCTCATCCTGTCACTTGTTGCCTACGTCCTCCATTCAGGTAGCTGTAGAGAGGGATGAAGTCATCCCAAGGGTGCACTTCTCCAGGCTAAATTACCCCAGCTCCCTCAGCTGCTCCTCATAGGACTTGTGCTCCGTTGCCCTTCTCTGGACACACTCCAGCCCCTCAATGTCTTTTTTTGTAGTGAGGGGCCAAAACTGAACACAGAATTTGAAGTGTGGCCTCACCAGTGCTGAGTACAGAGGGACAATCACTGCCCTGGCCCTGCTGGCCACACTATTGCTGATCCAGGGCAGGATGCCATTGGCCTTCTTGGCCATCTGGGCACAGCTGGCTCATGTTCAGCCTCCCCTGGTCCATTTCCTGGGATAGCTTTCCAGCCACTCTTCCCCAAGCCTGTAGTCCTGCCTGGAGCTGTTGAGACTTAAGGACAGGACCTGACACTTCATGTTGTAGAATGTAGTATGAGCCTCACACCATTGGCCTGGACCCATCAATCCAGCCTGCCCAGGTCCCTCTGCAGAACTTTCCTGTCCTCCTGTAGATCAACCCTCCTATCCATCTTGGTGATATCTGGGAACTGACTGAGGGGGCATTTGAACTGCTCATCCAAATAATTGATAAGCATTTTAAACAGGACTTGCCCCATCGCTGAGCCCTGGGGAGCCCCTCCAGTGTCTGGCCACCAGCTGGAAGTAACTCTCTCTGGGCCCTGCCTTCCAGCCAGTTTTTAACCCAGCAAACAGTGTACCTGTCCAAACCATGAGCAACCAGTATTACCAGAACAATGCCATAGGAAACAGTGTTAAAGGCATTATTGAAGTTCAGGTAAACACTCTCCATAGCCTTTCCCTCATCCACTAAGTTGTAGAAGAAGATAAGATTGATCAGGGAGCATCCTGCCTTTCCCAGCCGCATTCCAGCTAGGCCCGATCCCTGGACTGTCTTGAATGTGCTGTGTAGATTTATAGATTACTTGAAATATACTTCAAGAAACAGTTTTGATTTGCTACTGAAACTGTTTACAGTTATTATTGCTGAATAAATTGGCAGTATTTAAAAAGACAAATTTGATATGGTCTGTTTCTGAATACCATGGAACATAATACAGCACTGAAATTTGCTGGAAGTAAATGGTTGCTTTAAAACCATAACAGAATTAACTATCAAACAGTGAAGTGAACTTGGAATGTGGATGGTCATAAAACTTATTCAAAGTTAAATGATTAGTAGTCTGAGCCTGCAGCAGCTATGGTGAAATATTTACATGAGTTTAGAAACTCACCTTGTAGGTAAACTTTCCAAGAGAGAACTTCAAAACATCATTCTTTCAGATTTTCTTTAGTAGTCTTCCTCCTTCAGAATTTATGCTAGCATCCTTGGCCTTCTCTATGCCTCCTGATACCAAAGTGGCTTTCCTCTCAGCTTGTTTCTTGCCACTAAGTGTTGTAGAGTAGCTTTTTGTTTTTTGGGGTTTCTTTTTAAATATAGTACTCTTCTGGCTGCTGTTCAGAATACTTCAGTTATTACACTGTGTCCCACAGTGGCTCCATCTATGTTGCTGTCTTGTGCTCTCAGTCATATTTGCCTAGGACATACACCTGTATCTTTTCAGCGCGTGAACAGATCTCTGTTCATGTGCATACCTTGCTGCTGGTGGTGGGGGGAAGGGGTTGTCTGCCAGGGCAGACTAATTCTGGACTGGCATTTTAATGGCAGTTCTGTTATTCAGCTTGAGTTGAACTGCTGTATGTGGGTGTCCATGCATTCTGGAGTTGTGCAGACTGTTTAGCATCTTTATACATTGTACACACAGAGAGGAAAAAAAGGGTTTTGCATTGATTTCCTCGGTGACTGAATTTTGTTGGACACAGATGCGCTTTTAGAATCCTCTGTTCATAGCTGGCGAGCGCTCTGGATGGAAAAGAAATCATGCTCATAACTGGATATGTTTATGTGCGACCACTCTAAATAGGCAGTCTAAGATCCAGTGTGTCAGCAGCAGTCACACATGTAAATTCACAGCCTCTGCTGCTGAAAGAAGGTAGTTTTGTGGCTCCAGTGAAGGTTCTGTTAAATGAAGCTTGAAATTTGGCTACTGCAATGCCTTAAATGATGTTAATTGGAGCAGCTTATAATGGGGGAGATGGTCTAATCTTGTGCTTTGGTATTTCATTTCATGTCATCATTGTCTTGGGATTTTTTCTCCTCACTTTTTTTCATTAGCTTTCTTCCTTAGGTGGCCAAAGATCATGCTGTTCTTCCCTTCCTTTTTTGTTTTCTTAGCTGAAGCTCAGTCAAGCTATTCCCTCCTTAAGTAGCCCTCTTCACAAAGCTTTGTGAAGCTTTGTGA